ATATATATATATACATATGATTAATTAATTTTTATAGCTTCTAATACAGTCAGCGCCAATTGATTTACTGTTGGCGATAATGGGTGCCGCATTATTTTCGGTTTATTTGGTATTCGACATAGACCATATCATGCATCATGCTTCACCAGAAGATTATATTGAAGCGTGCATCTCACTTTACTTGGATATAATCAATATTTTCCTTAAAATCTTGCAAATTTTAAATGAAATTAGTAGAAGTTAGTTTAATTTATTTTTTGGTGCATAGAACGAAATTATTACCTTGTAGTCTAATCTATATACAAAAGATTAAAAGGATTATTTAAGTGAAATTTAGAAAGCCACTGAAATTCTCCAGAAGTTTGTGATGACTATTTATGGGTAATGTATTTTCATGGCAATGAGCTTTTTGTAACGCATATGGGTACATTTTCCAGTGATCTACAGCGAGTGCACTGAATTAAGATTCTTTTTCTAGCTTGTTTGTGAACTGGAAAGTTCGTTTATTACTGTGCTTTGTACTTGATTAAGCATGAGTGGAACTCAAGTAATGATATTAATTGTTATTTTTGTGTAAAAACTTCGAATAAAACTGATTTTCGCTATGTTTCGTTGCTTTCCATCTTATTCTTACTACATTTGAGTTTATAGTCATCATCTAGCATCAAGCATCACACATTTCGAGGCCATAATTGTTTGGGTACATTATTCAAATAATCAAATTGCTTTTCATTTAATTTCTGCATGTTATATTTCTTCGACTTTGTCCCGAGCTAGAATGAAGTAGCAGCTGAATCACTATAGTTGTTAGTGATTCTTTAACCCCTTGCCATTCAGAATTAGACTTAAATACTGAAAGTAAACAGTAGTGTGATGTAAGGTCAAATAGTCGGTGCTCAGTGCTCAGTGATGGTTTGAGGGAGTCATTATAAATCATTAAACGCTACATTTGTTTTCATGAACTTGTGTAAGTGCAATTAATACATGTTGATAATTGAAAATGCAATGCGTAAAACTGGTTTCGCATGAAATACCTGACCAGTTTCATTAGTAGAAAGTTAATTAATATATCTTCTAGTATTTGCAGTTAAGCAACAGTAAGGAATTTCAGGTTTTTGTGGAATAACTAGTTTATTTCGTTTTCTACCCTTTATGTAAAGCAACCGTTTTCATTTAATGTCGTTTCAGTTTTGCACTGACTGAAAAAAAGTATTCCATAAATGAGAAGTAGAAAAAATTGTAATACAGTTGCGATGGCTGATTAATTATCAAATATTAAACTTAATCAGCAATTGATTTGGAATAAAATTCATTAAAAAGTGTATTCATATTTCGAGTTTAATTATTATTTAGTTTTGTTCAGAAGTTGCCTATTCTATATATGTAGAACTCTTTATCATATAAAGGTTGAATATGAGATCATGTCAATCTTTTCAAACCCGACATATGACAATTGACTAAATCACTGAAGATTCTTTGACAGACTAAATGTTGCATTCCAAGTTCCTTGATCTCAATTTCAGGACGACAAAATGCTTCACATTGAGGTCCGCTGAAAAATATATGAAAGTTGAGGAGTAATTTTGCAAATTATAACTTAACAATACTAATTTTATAATAATAGTAATTATAAATTGTACTCGTGCACCATATTTGTTGATGTCTTTTTTTATTCAATTAAATTTGCGATATATTCTTTAAAAATCAACAAAATAATATTGAATTTTTGTAATAATATCTGAACTTTGACATAGTAACCTCTTCGATGTTGCAACCTTAGGCTAACCTATTTAGTGATTCAGCTTTTAGCTTTGTTTTCGAATTTTAAAGCATCGCTAATTTAACAAGCTATTGAATTTTAACATAAAAACTTAAGTTGTGGATAATTTTTATAAAAAATTTTAAAATTATTTGCTTCCGTATTTTGAAATTTGTGATCTTCTGGCAATGCGCAGTTTTTTAAAATTGAATTTACATAGCACTTTAATAAATTAATATATACATATAAGTAACCTTAAATATTTACTAGAATTAATGTAATAAACATTATTATACAAGTGATAACCTTTTGGCAGCTATTGCCTTATATTTGCAACATTCACTATTGTCGTGTCCATCAGAAGCACATGCCAAAATTGATACTACATATGTAATTCTGCATAATCCTTTTACAATAGCTTCCTTAATCTAAAATTTAGAATATCCGAAACTTTTTATTCAAAGCTAAGTTATCTTATCTTCTATAATAACATAAAATTATTAAGAATAAATTTTTGTCCTCAATTAACATCAAAACGGTATATTTTTTTTCTTAAAACTTTTGTACAGTTTCCCCAAATGTAACAAAACTGGTAGTTATTTTTAAATCAATAAATAAGCAATATTAGTACTTACTTACAAATTACTCGTAATTAATTAAATAAAGTAAACCTCATTTTTTGTTACGTCATATTTGCACAATTGTTGACATCCAATTGGTAATTTATTAAGACAGCATTGGCTGAATATTGAGTTTGCTTCTGAGAGTGTTACGCAGGGCAAAAAGTCAGGTGCTACACCACACTGTCCTGGTCAGAAATTATTTTATAACAAATGTATTCATATTTTTGAAATTCTGTTAGCAATTCTGACAATCTGATGCTATAATTATATAATCAGTCTTGAAATCCTTCAACACTTTCAAATGTTACTTAAATATTTTTTTATCATTTAAATTTAAAAAGTTAAGCAGAGAAATAAATTGTTAATTTAGTTTACCTTACTCGTTATTGGCAGATGATAAATCTGATTTTAATAATCTAAATAATAATTATTGATATGTATTTATTTTGTATACGGACGTGTATTTTTTATTTATTAGTAGCAATTTTTAATTATCATAAAATAGAGGATTTTGAGTTAGATGATATCTAACAACTAATAAATAATTGAGTAGCTTATTAAATTGCTTAAAGTAGTGGCATTTGTAATTGAGTTATCTCAAAAAATTTGGTTATTTGTAAATATTTGTGGTTTTTTCACTTTATTACTCGCAAATGTTCAATATTTAATTATAATCTAGAAATTGATTTAAGTGATTGAATCAGTCAACTAATGAATCAATCATAACTCATATAAATAAAGCAAAATGCAAATTTGATTAAAAGAAAAAATGAATATTATGCAAATTTAGTTGAAAAGACGAAGTATCTACCTGAAATCTGTGATTTTTCTGGCTCAGACCTTTCTGAATACTTTCCCAAAAAGGAAACGGAATCTAAAATACACAAATATTCTAGAATTACTGCAAACTACATTTTTTTATTTATATTTTTATTTTTTGCTTACAAACAATTATTAATCGAAATTTTAGTCTTAAATAACTTTTTGATTGCTTAAAATGCATTTGTTTACTTTGAAAATATATTTGTAAAAAATATGCAAATAATTTGCATGTGTACGTAAATATTATGCAATGCTCACAAGCAAATAAAAATTCTTTTAAGAAATTTTTGTGAGAAAAGATAATTTTTCATAAATATGACATAGTATTTATTTCTTGTAACAAAATTTTGGATTAATCTGTGCAAACTCACTCTGGTGTGATCCATTCAAAACAGTGAAAGACTCACGTCTTAATATATTTAATGAATGGATATTTACAAAGTTTTGACCTTTGCCCTCTTGATCTGAAAGCATAATCAAAAAAACAGTCTAAAACGATACTATGAATTTAATTTATTATAATAAAATAAATAGAAATTTAAATCTCACTCATATTTTCAAACATTACCTCTCAAATGTAATCTTCCATGCAAGTTTCACAATTTTTAAAATTTTTGCCATGAATTACGAAAAACTACTTATTTATTTGCTGTAATAATTAGAAGAACCATAAAAGCATTCCAGCACGATAATTTTAGTTATTACTTATATTACGTGAATTAGCAAAAGTAAACGTAAACGGTATTACATCAATATTAGTCATTAATTTTACCAACAATAAGTGTTAATTAGCAGTAATAGATTCTAAATTGTAAAACATTTTCAAATGCATAAATCACAAAATTCAATTTGAATGTAAACCTGATTTAGGATTATTCGCTATAGCAGTTGTTGCTCCTATATGTTTCCCAGCCATCGATAAGTTTAACTTAGATGGAAATATTGAGATAGTAAATGGTATTCGGTTTATTTCTGCTCTAAGTTTATCATTATCCTCTATGATTATCAGTGATTCATTACTGTTACCATTTTCGGGAATAGACAAGTGAACATTTTCCATTAATTTATGTCTCGTTAATTTTGCTCTTTGCTGAAAATTCTTAAACAAATTATATTATTCCTTTTAATTTAATTTTAACCCCAAATAAATCAATTATTATTTGACAAATTTTGTAAAAATTTAATGAACAAATATTACTTTCAAAGATTTTTATGACAATAAAATACATTTAATAGGTAAAAATGTGCATTATAATATGCAAATTTAAAAAAAAATTTTATAGCTAAAAATTTTACTTGTCATTTAATAATCAAAAATTTGCATATTAACAATATTGTTTATCAATGAAACTTTTTATATTCTCTTTCAGTAAGTGCGTTTACATTCGAATATTTCTGAATCTATTGTACATTTTTTGTCACTTTTGATTTTGTTTTAGCAAAAATTAACAAAAAAACACTTGTAATGATAAAAATACAAACTATACATTTGTGGATAAAGAATACAAAAAATATGTAGTGATAAGCGTATTGCGCACCAAGTGTTTTTCTTAGTTTAAACTATACAAGTCGAGACTAAATGAAATTATGAAGTACTTTTTTTAGAAATAAAATTAAGTACTGCTTGAGAACCTGTACTATTTGTTTGAATTTTTTTAAATTCAATTACTTATTGACATCCTAATATCCCTCTTTGAATGTCTTATTATGAAAACTGACAAATTACAAGACATACATCTCTTATACTTACAATTTTGCTGAAGAATTTTTCTTAATGACTGAAAATTAATTGTAATTTTTTAATAAAGCTATGTTTGAATTTGATAAGACAATAACTTGATACTGCGCAACATTTGTACTTCATTACAAACAAAGCTATATTAGGTCAAAATTAAAGAAAATTATAAAGTATTTTAAAAAATACCGTATTTAAATTACGGGAAGAAATCGACATCTCACCGTAATGCAAGCCACTTCTATGGAGTGTTCTTGGTACAGAGCTTAGTGTTGTAGCACTGCTTGCTAAATATGCTTGATTTTTGTTTTTTAATTCTTTTTTGAGAGAAAAGTATTTTTAGAAAGTTTTTGGCTAAATTAATTTAGTCTTTATTAAATAATTAAGACCTATAAGTTAGTCATAACCTAAATTCAAAGACATATACTATATACATTATTATCGGTTGAAAGGAACAAAAAAATCACACTTTTAATCTTTAAAAATAATTGATGCCTGCAAAATTTTTTGCAAAAAATTGCATATATAAATATAAATATAAATAAATAAATGAATATATATATATATATATATATATATATATAT